GTAGTTGGAAGATTCAAAATCGGTTCACATAAGAAAACACCTCATATACTTGCATCAGACATTGAATGGAATTATGCGGGTCAGTATTATATATATGTTATCATCTTTTGAATCTATTCGTATAAATTGTATCATCAAAAAATTTATACCTACCAATTGTTGAATTATTCAATTATCCGTTTACAATCGCATATTATTAACTTTTAACGGGTACAATCTCTATATTTTTATCCAAATACATTCATTACCAATATCAACACAGGAAACAACAATGAATCCCAAACTTCAAATCCTTCTAACAAGGGAAAAGAGAAACCTCGTGAAGAATTAGACAATCAGCTCGATATTATCGAAGAAAAATATGCAAAGATGGACACGCAACCTTCGAAAAAAAGAAAAAGAACTTCTGTTTCGAAACCATCAACCAATGACTCTTCATCCACAAACTTCAATGATGCACTCTCGCAAATTAGAGACGGTGACCCTGCTGTTCAAGAAAATTCTGAAGAAACAGTTAATAGTCACGATGATGATTCCGATTAAATTTTCTTTATCATACATAGCATTGTTGTTTTTAAAAAAATAAATAAATAATAATAAATATTAATTGTAATTTTGATAAAAATAAAAACATAATAATAATAAACACTTACGTATTAATAAACCGTTCTGAATATATAATAAAAATATATAAATTTTATAGTAAAAAAATAATTAGTCCCTCAAATATCTATAATCATTAAAACACCCAAATCTTTTTTCTATCATTTTGAATAAATTGTAAACATAATAAATAATCGTAAATCTAAACAGATTTGTATTTTCTTTTTTTAAAAAAAACTATATATATCTCTATTCGGGCGTTTGATTAAATTCGAACTTAACCTTCAAAATTAAAAATCATGCCTAATTATCAAATTCAAACCTTTTCATTTACTACCTTCCAACACCAAACACAATCCAATTCAGAAAATCAAAATGATCATTCGTTCAGTCCTTATATATTCAGAAATGAAATAAACCAGAACTTACCAAATGCTCCTTTTCCAGATAATATTCGATTATCACCCAACCCAAACTTTCTTCTGCCACCTAATAATAACCTTATTTCTCGACGAACAAACCTTCAATCCTTATTAACTGAATTCCAAACCAAAATATTATATGATCACCCTTGTATCCCTTGCGCCTATTGTTCAATGTTAATGATGAAATCTTACGTAAAATGGATCCCTTATGATAGTGACGAAATCTATTATCTAACTAGTGCTTTCGATATACCCGTACATACACGAGTAAATAGACTGAATGTCGAACAAGTCGCTGTTTGTAATGCATGTAAGAACCGGAAAACACGTCGCTATCCACCTATACTAACTCCTATCCCTCCTGAACTTCTTCAAGTTCCCATGATGAACCGAAGGTATCTTTCTCTAGTCCATTTAAGTTGTTCTTTAGGCCGCGCTGCTGGTACAAACCCATATACAAATTATCGACATTTAAAAGGATTGATAGGAATTTCCCACAATTACCGAACTTTACAGATATATTCTGGATTAATTGGTGCTTATCTGAATTCTAATGAACCTCCAACTTGGTTTCATAACTCTTTAATCCCTGCTTCGGAATGGCTAAAACAAAATAATGAACTCATTAAACAATATCAATCGAATTTGATTACTACTCATCCATTACCACAAAGTTCCGTACCACTCCCCTTACCTTTAGCAACACAGTCCCTTTTCAACAATTCATCTCTTAATACAACAAGAACCGTTCTTCCTAATAATGTTCCTCGACCGCCAGACTTGGTAGTGCCAAATATTTCATTTCCACAAGAGATTCATGATCAAGATTCCAATTATAATCGTTTAATAGCTGGCTCTATCGAAAATAATGATACAGATCGTCCTATTCTTTTTAACAACCCTGATCTGGAAGCTCTAATCTTTCCTAATCTATTTCCCAGAGGTCGAGGTCACTATGAAGATATCAAAAGGCGTCTGAATACTCAACCTTCTATAGATAGTTATGGTAAATATATCAAACTTAGAATGTTATGTCCTAACGCGCGATTCCGCCTACATTGGTACTGGCCACATTGGTCGTACCTAAATTTAGAAAAAAAAAGAAACTTTCAAAATCAACACAGACTACTATCTGCTAAAAACATTATTCGAGAATATCATCCAACAAGAGCCGATTTAATTGCTAAAAGTTCTTATAATAACTACCCTAGACTTGATGAATCAAAAACTACAACAATCCCCTCTCACCTTAGAACTGCCGCACCCTACTTTAAAAAAAAACAACTTCAAGTCAACACGATGATACAAGCTTACGGACTGCCACAAATCTTCTACACAATGACTATGGCAGAAGACAAATGGCCTCAATTACGAGAAATCCTGTTGTCAACCGATAATCACGATCCACTACCAACAAATCGCCCACTACACATTTATATGTTCTATCGAAATTTTTTAAATAACATTCGCAATAAATTATGGAAAAATTCTAATTTAGTGGGTTGGGGAAAATGGAAACATTTCTTTGAACGCGATGAATTTCAAAATAGAGGAACAATTCACACACACGGATTCGCTTACACTGAAAAAAAAACTCAAGAACTAATTTCC